CTATAGTAACGAACCTGAATACCTAAAACGATGAAATATAGTGACGAACTTGAATAACTAAATCCATGAATTATAGTAATGAACTAGAACTAAGGCGATGAACTATAGCAATGAACTAGAAGAACTAAGGCGATGAACTATACTAATGGACTAGAAGAACTAAGGCGATGAACTATAGCAATGAACTAGAAGAACTAAGGCGATGAACTATAGCAATGAACTAGAAGAACTAAGGCGATGAACTATAGCAATGAAATTAGAAGAACTAAGGCGATGAACTATAGCAATGAAATTAGAAGAACTAAGGCGATGAACTATAGCAATGAAATTAGAAGAACTAAGGCGATGAACTATAGCAATGAAATAGCAAGAAATTAGAAGAACTAAGGCGATGAACTATAGCAATGAAATTAGAAGAACTAAGGCGATGAACTAAGCAATGAAATTAGAAGAACTAAGGCGATGAACTAGCAATGAAATTAGAAGAACTAAGGCGATGAACTATAGCAATGAAATTAGAAGAACTAAGGCGATGAACTGCAATGAAATTAGCGATGAACTATAGCAATGAAATTAGAAGAACTAAGGCGATGAACTATAGCAATGAAATTAGAAGAACTAAGGCGATGAACTATAGCAATGAAATTAGAAGAACTAAGGCGATGAACTATAGCAATGAAATTAGAAGAACTAAGGCGATGATAGAAGAACTACTATAGCAATGAAATTAGAAGAACTAAGGCGATGAACTATTGCAATGAAATTAGAAGAACTAAGGCGATGAACTAAAGCAATGAAATTAAGGCGAATTGCAATGAAATTAGAAGAACTAAGGCGATTGCAATGAAATTAGAAGAACTAAGGCGATGAACTATAGCAATGAAATTAGAAGAACTAAGGCGATGAACTATAGCAATGAAATTAGAAGAACTAAGGCGATGAACTATTGCAATGAAATTAGAAGAACTAAGGCGATGAACTATTGCAATGAAATTAGAAGAACTAAGGCGATGAACTATAGCAATGAAATTAGAAGAACTAAGGCGATGAATGAAATTAGAAGAACTAAGGCGATGAACTATTGCAATGAAATTAGAAGAACTAAGGCGATGAACTATTGCAATGAAATTAGAAGAACTAAGGCGATGAACTATTGCAATGAAATTAGAAGAACTAAGGCGATGAACTATAGCAATGAAATTAGAAGAACTAGGGCGATGAACTATACTAATGGACTAGAAGAACTAAGGCGATGAACTATTGCAATGAAATTAGAAGAACTAAGGCGATGAACTATTGCAATGAAATTACTAAATGAACTATTAGAAGAACTAAGGCGATGAACTATAGCAATGAAATTAGAAGAACTAAGGCGATGAACTATTGCAATGAAATTAGAAGAACTAAGGCGATGAACTATTGCAATGAAATTAGAAGAACTAAGGCGATGAACTATTGCAATGAAATTAGAAGAACTAAGGCGATGAACTATAGCAATGAAATTAGAAGAACTAAGGCGATGAACTATAGCAATGAAATTAGAAGAACTAAGGCGATGAACTATTGCAATGAAATTAGAAGAGGCGATAGAAGAACTATAGCAATGAAATTAGAAGAACTAAGGCGATGAACTATAGCAATGAAATTAGAAGAACTAAGGCGATGAACTATTGCAATGAAATTAGAAGAACTAAGGCGATGAACTATAGCAATGAAATTAGAAGAACTAAGGCGATGAACTATAGCAATGAACTAGAAGATCTCAGTCGATGGACTTTAGTGACGAACTAGAAGAGCTAAGGCGATGAACTATAGTCACGAACCTGAACTATGATTTTAACTAATGAATCTAACATGGATAGATATAGAGTGCAAAAACGTCAAATGCTTATAATAAATTGTTACATTGAGGATACGCAGACTATGTCTACGAGGTAGCTGTCTATTTCACCGCTAAGTGTGGTCTACTGGTCGAGAAATGTCGGTTAAGTGTTGAGATGCGCCCGTGAGCAGTTCCAGAATACTTTGATCGCGAGGTGAAATTCTCCAAGTGAATGATCTGTGATCTGCCAGCACATGACAGTACTTAGCTGAGAGATGTAAGTCATTCTGAGTGGGTTCATGAAAGTTAACTTTCAGTTCCCAGACATCGGAACTCTGAGCTTTAGTAAAGGTTGAAAGAGTGGTTAAACATTATATCTCAGGGAAACTGGTGAACCAATTGTCTGAACATCGCACATGTATGATTGCCTCCGCAACAGTTTTGTTTCGTCAAAATCATATACATAAAAGTGAATTTTTTGTAAAACATTTTAGATCCAACCGTGCAATGATGGTGTCAGCAGCAATGTGGTACCTACTGAACTGCGTTGAGTGCAGTGGTTAAAGCGTTCACTCGTCATGCCCAAGACCCGGGTTCGATTCCCATCATGGGTACAATGTGTGAAGCCCATTTCTGGTGTCCCCTGCTGTGATATTGCTGGAATATTGCTAAACCCATATTCACTCACTCACGCATTGCATATGTGACTCCCCGTCGGTATGACTGATTATCGAGTGGGATAGTTTGAAGCTAGGCTCTGTTTTGTGTTATGATAAATTATACCATGTTTCCAGCTTAAAATAAAATTATCACCACAATAAGAAAACTGTGGGCCTCGGGCCCTCGGGCAGAGAATGTCAGTGCAAAAGAATATATTGTCTTGACCATCCCCTGAAACAACTGCCGTTTGATGCAAAGTAAAACATAACTGTGACTTATAATGATTGTTTGTTGTTTTACGCCGCACTTAGCAATATTCCAGCTATATAGCGGCGGTCTGTAAATAATCGAGTCTGGACAAGACAATCCAGTGATCAACAGCATATTCATGATATTTCTAACCTAAGGTAACACAACCTTGAAAACGACCATTGCCATCAAAATTACAAATCAAGTTGAGTAAGTGACTAAGTGACAATACTGTTTTACGCCGCTCTTAGCAATATTTCAGCAACATCACGGCGGGGAACACCAGAAATGGCCTTCACACATTGTACCCATGTGGGGCATCGAACTCGAGTCTTCGGCGTGATGAGCCAACGCTTTAACCAAACGGCTGCCACCGCCCTATTTCTGCCCAGGTTCTTTCATCTACTCTACATTTCTAGTAGCCAAGGGGGGCGGTAGGGTAGCCTAATGGTTAAAGCGTTGGCTCGTCACGCCGAACACCCGGGTTCGATTCCCAGCATGGGCACAATGTGTGAAGCCCATTTCTGGTGTCCCCCGCCGTGATGTTGCTGGAAAATTGCTGAAAGCGGCGGAAAACCAAACTCAGTCAGTCAGTTTAGTAGCCAAGGAAATTAAAAAGGTATGATTATTATCTAAAATGTATATTTCACCGAGTAGAAACACTACAGTCGGTGTTTTTGTGCTATATTTGCACATCTAAGACTACATCGTAAAACATTCTTAATCTTTCGCCGCTCCCACAATGCATATTGATGAACAGTGCATTATAGCTCACCTGGAAGGTAAGAGCTGGGCATCTTACAGTGGAGGATGCGGACGAGAGTCCACCATGGGTCTGGTTTCAGTTGACTAAGTTGACACGGGGAAACAGACCCGTGAAGGTCCGGGTTAGAATTGATCTTCAGTAACCCATGCTTGTCGTAAGAGGCGACTAGCAGGATCGGGTGGTCAGGCTCGCTGGCTTGGTTGACACGTGTCATCGTATCTCAATTGCATAGATCGATGCTGATGCTGTTAATCACTGGATTGTCTGGTTCAGACTCTATTATTTACAGACCGCCACCATATAGATGGAATATTTCTGAGTGCGGCGTAAAACAGCAAACCAACCAACGGGAAAACAGTCATCTTGTATAAAACACTTGACAACAATGACACCCTTTCGTCCATCTAAGTCTTACGTTTGTATCTGACCATTACACTAAAGGTTTATAAGTAAGTTTCATAACAACCGAAAACATTTATGTAACTTTGTCATTTAAGGTGGGCGTTCAGTTCAAGTTGAAAAACCCTGAACAGAAACCCACTACTAGTTTCGTGACCAGATAACGTACTTTTCTTTTCAGGGATTAGGAATCCAAGTTTTTAAAGAATTGTTATTAACATTGGCACATCGTTCGCTTATAAAGCGGATGTCACGACATCAGAAACGACAGAAGGAGACAACGTATTTGACGACCACGGAACTCCGATTTGTCCTTATCAGAATATTTTAACGTTTAAAATGAAAACTGTCAGTCATTTGTACACTTGCGATAAATTTCTCATCTTAACCTTGCCTCTCCCTCCAAAAAAAGGGGGAAAAAATAAATTTTTATATTTTATTAACCGAACTGCTCCATGTCAAATCCCATTCTATCACAGTATGTGGCGATGGAAATCGACATTCGCTTCCAGATCAGATACATTATTCTGACGAGATGATTAATGTCATTTACGTCCGTCTCAGTGATACGGTACAGCAAGTAGGTTAATGTACATGTGATGATGGAGTGGTTCCTGCTGCTGGAAGCAAGAACAACTCAGGAACATGAACAAAGCAAGAACAATTGCTTTCAAGAAATCATCAGACCAATGTTTTAGCGCAACATTACATAAAACGGACCCTGAACTCTTAACATTTTGCTGAAGACGTCGGAACTTAAAGGATCATCTTGAGTCGAACTCTTAACAAGGTGCCAGGCAAAAGAGTGAGTGAGTTTAGTTTTACGCCGCACACAGCAATATTCCAGCTATATGGCGGCGGTCTGTAAATAATCGAGTCTGGACCAGACAACCCAGTCATCAACATCATGATCATCCATCTATTCAATTGGGAACCGATGACATGTGTGAACCAAGTCAGCGAGTCTGACCACCTGATCCTGTTAGTCGCCTCTTACGACAAGCATGGGTTCCTGAAGATCAACTCTAACCCGGATCTTCACGGGTCTCCAGGCGAAAGAAAGTACGCGCCCATGTTTGATAGTGGCCCCTGGAAGCGTATTAGTGTCACGTATATATTATCTGCGTAGAGGATGCTTATGGAGTTATCAACTTTGGTGAACATTATGTCTCTAATAATCCATGCTACAAAATATTTATGATATATCAACGTAGGGTCGCAAGTTGATAAGACAGTAAGTCTGGTCTACGATACTCAAGATTATTATAATATCATGTATAAAGAGGTAAGTATCATCTTCGGAATATAAAGTTCGTGTGCGTAGATATAAATATATTCTATACCAGTATCATATACGTAGATGATTCTTAATTCTACGGAGATGATACTTACTTCTACGATATGATACTTACATCTAGGACATGAAACTTTCATCTACGTAGATGTAATTATATTCTACGCAGAAATAAGCATATCATATGTATACTCCCCATCAAATGTTTAGACTCACCTAAAGCACTCACTATATGTTATGTATATAATATATATATGGTTACATCGAAAATGAATTCCTTCTCTAACTTGGGGGAACCAACTGCAAACCTTTATGCAGATGAATTGTACGAGGATCATGCATCAAATTGCTTAAAGCACGTGCAAATATCGTTCATGTGAACAGCTGCGTTTTGGTGTAATGTTTTGTTAAGAATTCGCCAATTTTCACTGATTATCATCTTTACTGAACTCATGACAATAATCTTTCCAACGTTACGAATTTGTTTTTTCAATACATTAGTTCATGAGTAAAGAGTTCCTTTAAACTGAATGGAATATTCGCCAAATCAAGTTTTGAACAGTTGACTGAAGTAAGTGGCGACATTTACATAAGTGAGTCTAAACTTTTGATGGGTAGTATAGATTTTCATCTTTGCCGATGTAAGTATCAGTAGTTATACGTATCTTCTACTTAGATGTATGTATCATGTTCGTATGTGTATCATCTACGTGCATGTATCATCTTTGTAGATTTAAGCATCATCCACGTAAATGTAAGTATCTTCTACGCAGATACACGTATATCCTATGTGGATGTAAGTATATTGTAAGCAGATATAAGTATCTCCTGCGTAGATGTAAGTATATTGTAAGAAGTTGTTTGAGTGGCATTTTAAAAGTTGAGACGTACAATATAGATATACACTTCATGTATCACTCTTGCTTGACAACGGTACAAGAATCTGTATCGAAACGTCGCACTCACGAAATAAAGAAGTTGCTATCCATAAAACTTGTTCTATATTATATTGTAAGAAGATATAAGTATCTCCTGCGTAGATGTAAGTATATTGTAAGCAGATGTAAGTATCTCCTGCGTAGATGTAAGTATATTGTAAGCAGATGTAAGTATCTCCTGCGTAGATGTAAGTATATTGTAAGCAGATGAGTATCTCCTGCGTAGATGTAAGTATATTGTAAGCAGATATAAGTATCTCCTGCGTAAGATGTAAGTATATTGTAAAGCAGATATATAAGTATCTCCTGCGTAGATGTAAGTATATTGTAAGCAGATATAAGTATCTCCTGCGTAGATGTAAGTATATTGTAAGCAGATATAAGTATCTCCTGCGTAGATGTAAGTATATTGTAAGCAGATATAAGTATCTCCTGCGTAGATGTAAGTATATTGTAAGCAGATATAAGTATCTCCTGCGTAGATGTAAGTATATTGTAAGCAGATATAAGTATCTCCTGTGTAGATGTAAGTATATTGTAAGCATAAGTATCTCCTGCGTAGATGTAAGTATATTGTAAGCAGATATAAGTATCTCCTGCGTAGATGTAAGAACCCAATGTTTTAAACTGTAACTCCTATACACTTCTATAGTGGCAAGAAATATATAAAGAACAACCAAGAAATGGTTATTGGTTGGTGATGTAATATTTGGCGATACCAAATACATGAGTTCGCCGTGTTCAGCGACTTTTCTCAACCTATTAACGTTTTGATAATGTTTGTAATTTCTTCAAAACAAATCCATTTCAAGTGTATACTTTCTTTAATCCGTCAGTTTATTTTTTCATGTCAATACCACACTGGTCGATCTTCTAATTAAACGATGTACTTTGTCTTTATGGAACATATCGAGTTAATGAGGATTCAATTATATTTTCAAGATCAAATGTGAAAATCAAGTCTTTGGTTGTAAAGAATGGAATCAGCTGTGTTCCGAATATTGTGATTGGCAGCACATTACGCGGTCAGACGGAGGCCGTTACGTCTCCACACACTGCAGGGTGGACTCGCGTGTCATTAACCAGCTTCTACAAACTTCAGTAACAAAACCACATACCTTAACGTATCAACAATTGTAGAAATGTCATGGTAATAGCAGAGATGAAGTTTACAGTTGTGTCTCAGACAGCAATGTTTTGTTGTACGTCAATGATAGCAAAAGAGATCCTATAAATACCGTATTTGTGTTCAGAAATGCTATCTGTTTCTTCGTGGTATTTTAACATGACTATAATGGCTGTGTTTAAAGCGCCTGTTTCCACGCACTTATGTATGCTCAAGGCAGTAACACGTTATTACCCCGATAGCCCAAGCTGCCTGTGAGGCGCCGGAAGATTAATACTTATATGACATATTCCACCGGGTCCCCATTCACTGCTGGGAGCATAGGCAATTTTGTACTAACGTACTGTCCTATGGTGAAGGGCGGTGGGGTAGCCTAGTGGTTAAGGCGTTTGCTCGTCACGCCGAAGACCCGGGTTCGATTCCCCACATGAGTACAATGTGTTAAGCCCATTTCTGGTGTCCCCCGCCGTGATATTGCTGGAATATTGCTAAAAGCGGCGTAAAACCAAACTCACTCATTCACTCACTCCTATGGTGAAACCGCATGTTCCATGTGTGATCCGTTGTGGGGCAGGACGGGAGTCTTAGAAACTCCCAGGAGTCAAGCTGCAGGGTCGTAGCTGCCGTTTTACTAAACAAAGGCCTGGTCGTACACATTATTGTTGCTAAAAAGGTTGGACAAGCCCTAAATACTGTCTAAATATAAAGCTTTGCAACATATCGGGCTTACACGAAAACATTGGCTTGCCTGAGCTGCCAAGTACAGTCACCCATCCAATGACCAACTTCAACTGACTGGTGACCTGGGCTATATGCATAGGACCGTACACCACCACGAGTGCTAACCTTTGTTCCGTATGTAAATTACGCTGAAGGGGTCGTTGTCGGCACAGGTACTACAGAAATTTATCCCAGGTACCTTTTTAAATGTACAGAATCGTACCCTAGGACGATCCCATTCTGCATCGCGATGAGCGCTAAACCGGTTTCTCGAACGCATACTAAAAATTATTCCTGCCTGTCAAACCGAGGAAATATTCAACATGGCAGTGCGTGTTCGTCAGGAAGAACTACATACCTTCCTTCCGCTGTCAGTTATAAAATATCAGACAATCGATTTTTCTTGAGCATGACGTCCCCTGTAGTCCGTTTTACAGAAAATTGAAAGTTGTCTACAATGGGGGTGACATACTTCGTACATTTCCAGCGCTGTTCTCTCAGGAGCGAAACTTTTTTAAGTTTTGGGTGTCCTGAAAGGGCCGTTTCCAAATCGTTCCCACCAACAGCTGTCGTAAATGAACATGGGAAATCGTCATCATCTTCTTGATCGGAACTCTCATACTGTCGTATCAGCTCCATATTCGATTGCGCTAGAATACAAAGTGAATACTCGGCGATGCAGTGAAAGCGCTCGAAATCAGGCGATCTGGAACAACACCACAAACCGGTTTTGGTTTCGGCTTGAGAAAAGTGGACCCGTCTGCCGTTTAGGGTACCGGGTACGTTTCTGTACATTTACTTTGGCTAGGGTACACTTCTGTATACAGAAAGGTACCTGGGGTACATTTCTGTAGTACCTGTGCCGACAACGACCCCTTCAGCGTAAATTACTGTCAAACTCAAATAACGTTATAACTACAATGAGATACATGACTTTCCTCTGAGAAGACCCTGACGCCATACTGTCGGAAAGAGAAAACATTTCTACCCAAATCCTGACAGGTCCATGGCGTTATTGACTGAACGGACTTGACTCACATTTCACCTTTTTTCGGAAGTGAAACAAATGTAAGGAAATTGTCTGTTTGCAGTGGCATAAATAAGGTAGATTTCCCCAGTGGCACCGTTTGGGGATCGCCTATAACTGCTCTACAACATTCTCAGAAGCCTCAGTTGGCTGGGAACAATTATAGCCTTCGTTTAGTTTTATCGATATGTGACCTTCCAGTGAATGTGTTTCATGGCCGTAATGTCACAGGTTATCACGTGGACAAGGGTCAGAGGTCATCATAGGGGCGGGGGGAGAAGGGATTTAAATGGAGTGTGTGGTTCGCAAGTAGGGGAAGGGACCTGACCGTTGTTGTGGGGCTGAGTATGGGATACTATAAGGGACATTCTCGCGATCTCGCATTCTCGCGATCTCGACCTTTGGAAACAAGATGAAAATGCCAATACTGCGAGAACGCGAGATTTTTGCCAAATCTCGCGATCTCGAACTCTCGCACTTTTGGGCATTTTTAGCTTCCTTCTTCTTTCGAGCCCAGGTCGAGATAGCGAGAATGTCCCTCACAGTATTCCATAGCTGAGGGCGGAAAGGGTCGAGTAATAACGTCAAACTAGATCGATTTGATCACAGATCAATTAGCAGAGTGGTCAAAGGTTGTGGTCAAACGAGTACCAGAATCCTCTAACTCGCGTCTGTGGTTTGTGATGAGGATTTCTCATGAACCAGCTGCAATTTCCTTCTAATTGAGTGCATGAGTGTGAGCTGCGGTTGCTTTGAAGAGTAATTTTATCGTAGTTATGTATGTGCCTTTGCAAGTTCCTTTCAGTACTTTCGACATGGGTACAATATGTGAAGCCCATTTCTGGTGTCCCCCGCCGTGATATAGCTGGAATATTGCTAAAAGCGGCGTAAAACTAAACTCACTCACTCACTCACTTTCAGTACTTTCCAAATGGGTACAATATGTGAAGCCCGTTTCTGGTGTCCCCCGCAGTGATATAGCTGGAATATTGCTAAAAGCGGCGTAAAACTAAACTCACTCACTCACTCACTTTCAGTACTTTCAACATGGGTACAATATGTGAAGCCCATATCTGGTGTCCCCCGCCGTGATATAGCTGGAATATTGCTAAAAGCGGCGTAAAACTAAACTCACTCACTCACTCACTTTCAGTACTTTCAGTACTGTTATCTGGTGGACACAGTATAGCTTAGCTAAAAGCGGCGTAAAAACTAAACTCACTCACTCACTCCTCAGACAAGACTCAGTATTTGGCCAACCTACTACTCCTCGACAAGACTCAAGGGATTCCGGGAAAAGTACACCACACAGGTGCGATGAACGAGAGCAGCGAACTGAAGCGATGAACTATAGTTACGAATTGGATCAATTAATGCGATGTACTAAAGTGGTGAACTACACGAACTAGATCGACGACGTATGGAAACAAATCGACGAATTTGTGTGACAAAGTGAAGGTATTAACTATAGCGACGTTTTGCAAACTAATGTAACGAACTAAAGTCATGGACTATATTGATGAAGAACACTATAATGACGAACTCGATAGATGCACGTGACGAACTAAAACATGGACTATACTGATGAATTAAACCAACAAAACTCGACAAACTACACAGACGAACTCGATAGATGAAAGTGACGATCTAAAGTATTCGAAAAACACCAACACAAGCGGTGAACGAACAAATGTGGTGAACAATTGCCACGAACCAATTAACGGCATACATAGACGACCATCCTCGATTATCCAGTGGGTGAGTGAGTTGTCTTTTACGCCGCTTTTAGCACTTTTCAAGCAATATCACAGCGGGGAACACCAGAAATGGGCTTCACACATTATACCCATGTGGGGAATCGAACCCGGGCTTTCGACGTGACGAGCGAAAGCTTTAACCACTAGGCTACCCCACCGCCCCTGTGTTGATAGAGAACCGATGGACGCCTGATTTCGTGTTGTGTTGTGGCATATATATAACAAGTTCTAATAAGGACGCCTGATAAATGAGGATTTGACTTCCTTATCTTATTGATAAGGAAAACATGTTTTCCTGGGAAACAAAATCATTTATATTTGATGATATATGCGGAAGGGTCACTCTCGTTAGTTCTTGATTCTGCAAAAGATTTGTGTCGAAATCACGCTCAGGAGATGCATTTTGGTTGGTCTCCAGCTACTGAGCGACGGAAATTCTGTTCTATATTAGTGGGTAAAATGAGCCGCATTTAGCAATATTCTAGCAATGTCACGGCGGAGAATATAATTATATTCCCCACAATGTGTGAAGCCCATTTCTGGTGTCCCCCGCCTCGATATTGCTGGAATATTGCTGAAAGCAGCGTCAAATGCAACTCACTCACTCACAAACAACACAGAATTGAGAACAAATACTCTAAGATAATCGAAGAGGGAGTGAGTTTATTTTTAAGCCGCATTTAAAGCATTATTACAGCAATATCACGACGGGGAACACCAGAAATAGGCTAAAGACTTTGTACCCTTTTGGGGAATCGAACCCAGGCCCTAGACATGACCAAGGAACGGATTTTACTGCTCTACACGTATGTTATTCGATATACGAGCACAGGATCAGTGTGGGCTTCAAAACTCCACGCCCCTTAAACAACTGGGAGTAGGTAAAATATTAAAATTCAAATCGCATGTATGTTTGTAATTGTGCTGGGAACAGAGACAATGTTTTGTGTGTTCATGGTATAATTCGTTGTTATTATTTATTATGATCTCTTCAGACTGAGTAATAACACTATAGTCTATACCATTTGTAAACAGTTTTATACGTTGTAGAGCGAGCTTGTACTCACCAACGCCTTCGTCGATGTCGGGGTTTGTGAGGTCAATGAACCTGGACTCGAACATGGCTATCTGTAGGTGATGGACCCCGTACCACACCACTGACCAGATAAATAGAGACTGGACCAGCACTGGCGAGAACTGAGGCTGAGGTCTACGGAATCGGGATATTCCAGCTTCTGTCGAAAGGAAAAATAGATACATTGTTGAAAGACCTGCTGACTCGGGATATCCCAGCTTCTGTCGAGAAGAAAAAAGATATTTGTTGAAAGTCCTGCTGTGTCGGGATGTTCTGGCTTCTGTGGAAAGGCAAAGATAGATATATTGACATATAACAACTTGGATTAGGATATTTCGGGCTAATGTTTAGAGGGAAAGACCTGCAGAATCGGGATATTCCAGTTTCTATCGAAACTACGGACATATTGTTGAAGAACCGGCTGAAGAATTTTTGTATCTCATTAACTATCTTCAAGATGGAAAGAAATCTTGAGTTGGCGCAAGGCGTTAACTTAACCGTGTGAAGGAAACGAATTAGATATCGTGCTAACAAAACAAAGATCTACCTAATTGCTCAAGCTTAGACGATCCGCAATTATACAACTTTGTTTGGATGATATTCGTATAAAACGATTGTAACAAGATATGTCACCTGTCAACGTGTATGACTTTTGTATAGAGTGAATGTACCTACTGATGTGAATAAAAAAATGTGGGAAAAAACAAACAAACAAAGATCATAACTTGCGCGAATTTGGGATTCGAACACACAATCAGTGGATTCACAGATAATTAAAGGTTGTAACTCTGGACCGCTAATTATTTGATCGGCATTGTTTGACCGACAATCTAGAAATTGGTGAGTCAAACATAAAGCATACGACTTTATGGATAACAACTTCTTGTTTATTGCATAGAGCGACGTTTGGGTGTAGATTCTTACACCGTTACCAAGTTAAGAAACTACATGGAAACGTCGCTCTATGCAATAAACAATAAGTTGTTATCCATGAAGTCGTATGCTTCATTTTGGGGGCACTTCAGCGTTTGACACATCCCGAAAACACGCGTGAATATTCCACACGAGCATTTTACATCACGTGTTATTGTCAACTTCCGGCGTACTCTACCCGACATTCTACGTTGCCATGCCCTCTGCTTCCGGAGCATCGTCTCGTCCAATGATTGGTTGCGGCGCTTTCCGTAGTCAAGGGGGAGGGGCCAGGGGATCTTGGTCTTGGGCAGGAAGGCGATGGTGGAGACGAGCATGGGGACGATGCCGATTGTGAGGAACATGAAGGATGTCTGGACGTTGACGCCGATAAAATGAGACAGCTGGAACAAGATCACATTTAAGGGTCATGGTTTGGACAAATCGGATTGAGACAGTATTGTTATACGCCGCGTTAGCATTTTCCCAGCAATGTCAAGGCGGTAGACACCAGAAATGACATTCACACATTGTACCCATGTGAGTGAGTTTTGTTTTACGCCGCCTAAGCATTTTCCCAGCAATATCAAGACAGGAGACACCAAACATGACATTCACACATTGTACCCATGTGAGTGAGTTTTGTTTTACGCCGCTTAAGCATTTTCCCAGCAATATCAAGACAGGAGACACCAAACATGACATCCACACATTGTACCCATGTGAGTGAGTTTTGTTTTACGCCGCTTAAGCATTTTCCCAGCAATTTCAAGACAGGAGACACCAAACATGACATTCACACATTGTACCCATGTGAGGAATCGAACCGAGATCTTCGACGAGAAAAGCGAACTATTTAACCACGTAAACCAACATCAACTTGGTCTATGCTGACACACACTTCATGACTGTTTCGTTTTTTCTCCGATATTTAAGTCGGAGCAATGTTGCTCCGAGACAATTAATCCTATCCCTGATAGACAAACTAAACCTAATCTACTTGTACAACAAAATGGCCGTTCAAGACCGACTAACTTGCTTACCGTTCTCACAAACACCTGGTGTCATCACTGTTTTTCGGTAATCCATGCACAAACCTTTCACAACTACTTTACCCTTTACAGCAAAAGGAATATGTTTCAGAGATAAGTCAAGACTTGGTATTCTTTTGCACTGACGAACCCGTGAAGATCCGGATTAGAATTGATCTTCAGCAATCAATGCTTGTCGCAAGAGGCGACTAACGAGATCGGGTGGTCAGGCTCGCTGACTTGGTTGACACATGTCAACCAGTTGTTTAGATCGATGCTCATGCTGTTGATCACTGGGTTGTCTAGACCAGACTCGACCAGGGTGCGGTGTTAAACAACAAACCAACCAACCGTGATCAGTTCGTTTCGACGTCGTATGCATTTTGAATAAGGATAAAACTGACAGACATCAACAGCATGAGCATCAATCTACGCAATCGGGATACGATGACATGTGTCAACCAAGTCAGCGAGCCCGATCACCCGATCCCGTGAGTTGCTTCTTACGATAAGCATGAGTTGCTGAAGACCAATTCTAAAACGGGTGGATTTATCACGGATGACATCAAGCTTACATTCTAAGATATTCTTAAGTAACAACTAGGTGAGTAAATTCTAAACCTCAAGAGACCGAAAAATAGATCAAGTCTAGATTATGTCTAGATTCAGCTACAAGGCGCTGTCAAGTTGCCTTCAAGGGCTGCAGATTATGATGCTCGTCCCCTACAACTCGAAGGTCGTAACCATCTTAAGATCAGAGGGAGGTACTGAGAGTATTGATTGATGTAAGCCGATTGAAGGATTAGGTCAAAGATTCATGAATCTTTCATGAAGTAGATGAGGTTATCGCTGCCCTCATATTCCAATACATTTAATCAATACTATAACAATCTGTGAAGAGCAATGTGTTTTGGCAATTTAGTCTGAACTGGGTCAACAAGAACATTTTGCCAATTCAAAATGTGAAGACTGACTGACTGACTGACTGACTGAGTTTGGTCTTACGCCGCTTGTAGCAATATTCCAGCAACATCACGGCGGGGGCCACCAGAAATGGGCTTCACACATTGTGCTCATGTGGGGATTCGAACCCGGGTCTTCGGCGTAACGAGCCAACGCTTTAACCACTAGGCTACCCCACCGCCCCTCAAAATGTGAAGAACAGGGGCTAACCAATGTCGTATATCCGTCAAAACTTATGCCATGGGGCTTAATAGCAAAATTGTGATGGAAATAGATGAATGGATCCCTAAAACCCAGCGATGACACCAGGTGTCCGTAGAACTTGTAAACATGTCCTGCAAAACGTTGGCAGAAAGAAGAAAATATCTCGATTTAACTGAGGAAATCCCGATAGTCGGGGGATTTGGAGACCAATAAGACACGCGACATCCCTCTTGAAAAAATCCCCAAGTCAGTTAAGGAGACCAGGCACAATTACTTGTCCCTCGTCATGTGATCTGTGCGTGACAATCTGATGACATTTCAGCCGGTTCGACTGTTTATTTAGCTACTGACACTTCTGCACTCGGTGGACATTTTTCTCGGGATTAAAAACTACGTTATTTATCTCGGTGCATGTATAAGCTTTCTAAATGTGTTTAATCTGCTTTTGATAAGACGCTAAAATGTGTGTTCAGTAATGTCAAGGTCGTTGTACTTGTTGCTGCATATTATTCGAAAACATCATATTTTCGAAAGGTGCCTTAAAAAGTAACTAAGTATATAACTAAGTAACAAACGAACTAAGTAAGAAAACAAACTAACTAACTGACTGACTGACTGACTGACTGACTGACTGACTGACTGACTGACTGACTGACTGACTGACTGACTGAATGAATGAATGTATGATGGTTGGTTAGATATATAAATAAATAAATAAATAAATAAATAAATAAATAAATGAATGAATGAATGAATGAATGAATGAATGAATGAATGAATGAATGAATGAATGAATGAATGAATGAATGAACAACGCTAAAATGTTGAACGGAGACGCTGTTTTTCAGAATACTTTTGCTCAACAAAAACTGTCCCTCTGGATGGAATTTGACGTGAAATAGCCGCGTTATTTCCGACGCAAATACAGTCTGATCGGAAATGTGCATTTGATATTTTCCTTCACTGATGTTCAGACATCCATTACTATAATTTTCACCGATTTTTTTTCCTTTTCACGCCAAACGTGATCCGTGGAATACTTGAGACGTGATATTCTCTGACGTTGACCTTTTACGCTAGTTGGCGGCAGCTGTATGTTATGCAGCTGAATGAGTGAGTGAGTGAGTGAGTTTAGTTTTACGCCGCACTCAGCAATATTCCAGCTATATGGCGGCTGCAGCTGACTGAGGAGGGGGAATACAACAAGGATCATGGTAGTTTTCCTGGCAATACCTTATATTTCTTGGACATAATGCGTATTCTGATGGCCTGAGGAAGTTTGGTTTAGTTCAAAAAACTTAAGAGATTTAAGTAAGTCAAGGCCCGGGCTCCCAAAGCAACTTTAGCTCTCATTCTTCTCAGAGAACAATAATACTCACTGGGAATGAGGCTGGTCTAAACAAATATCATGGGTAAACAATATAAGTTGTTCTCTGGTCACGTGGGTGACAGGGGCTGATGTACCTTCTATATTTGTTTATGTTCCCTGAGCCCGAAGGGGCAATATGTAACAGCACTCAGAACGCAATGACAACCACAAGACACCACGAAGTATCATCGTATTGAAACAGATGATCCAATCAGCCAATCAAACTCCTCAATATTATCACAAAGATTCCCACAAACATGACATGCACGTGATATGCATATTCATCAACCTGGCCTAGCCAGACAACAGGCAAAGAGAATACCATGAATACTATTACCCACAAAACTGTATAACACAAAAAAGGAAATGTTTTTGTATAACTTTTTATTGACTTTTAAATAAAGCAAACTACAATGTATAAAATACGTGAAAATGTCACTGCTACAAAACTATACTGCATTACACTACGTGGGGTCAGAGCGAACTGTATTTCAGGTACATATGTAACAAAAGACATGGTTTCCGGAAGGGGGTCACGTGATTACTCCTAATGCATTATCGTCTTAAATAACGTTTGACAAGATATATTGATAGAACACACAGTGGCGACAGTCGCGAACATAAAATAACTGTTAATGTAGTCTCCGATTGGCATCAGATCAAATGACTACATGAACCTCCTACAGACGACGTCTAACTTCGCCATATTTAATTGGCTACAGCGTCAGACCCCGGGGCCAGACTCAGGTGGTCAAGTCGACCCGTTAGTATTTTATGTCGGCCTCAGTTACATCAGATCTTAGTTCTCTCCACTGCTAAACAAACAGCGAAGGACATGCTACACTGTCCCTTATAAATGAACTACGTAGGTGAAAATGAGTGAGTGCGTATGGTGCGTATGGTGCAAATACCTGCAATATCACGGCGGGGAATACCAGGAATGGGCTTCACACATTGTACCCATGTGGGACATAGAACCCCGGTCTTTAGCGTGACGAGCAAACGCTCTACCCACTAGGCTAACCCACCACCCAAGGAGATATTGAGAATATTGAATTTGTTGATTCGTGAAACATTCAAAACAAATGCAATACTTTTCTACTGAAACTTGTTAGTCCCGTGTTCGATAACTAGTTTAAAGGTCACATGCAACAAAAAAATAAAACATAATTAAAACACAATTATCACTTATTCATGACATATAATATACATTGCTGGTTATGAAAAAACATATAAACAAAATTATAATTCTGTCAATGCTAAATAATGACATTGCCTTTAAGTATCGAACTGAGAAAGTGACTAGGTAAGAAGAACGTGTGGCGAAATAGACAAATGAAATTATATAAACAGTTAAATCGGTAATCTACTGTAATAACATATAAAAAGCTCGCGCCTGTGAAATATCAACAAAACATTAGAAAAATAGCTCACACCAAAGCCTTCTCCTAGGATTCACCGGACAACCCTCTTCCAAGTTGCGCGAACCTATTTCACTGCGCATGTGCTATGAGCGCAGCCCAGCTGTTGAAACCACTTGAATTCCCCCAAGCGCTGGGGGAAAATTAGTGAATCGTTTGAACTACGATTTCGCGCGGTTTTTTATCGCGTTATTTTTCAACTTTTTAAGTTGAATTTGCATTTTTGATGATTTGTTTCGGTAAGTCCATACCGAAAGGTATCAGAATCTGCAAAGTTGTATGTGACATTTAAATATTTGAAGATTGAAAGAGCAATTGTTATAAGATCAGAATGCATGCGAAATGGTACTGGCCATCAAAGGTCAAAAGTCAGTCAACATTTTGTCTTATGTCTGCCGACTTATTGCAAGTGGGAAAATACCGGAGACTAAATGCTGCCAGTCGCAATTACTCCGTAAGAGTGAGTGAGTGAGTTTAGTTTGACGCCGCTTTTAGCAATATTCCATCAATATAACGGCGGGAACACCAGAAATGGGCTTCAGACATTGTACCCATGTGGGTAATCGAACCCGGGTCTTCGGGGTGACGAGCGAACGCCTTAACCACTAGGCTACAGTAACCAGACCATAAAAAGAGGCTTTTCTTACTGTGAGAATCCTTTTCTTCTCAATTTTAGACAGTTCATGTATCATTAAACATAAGGAAACTATACAGAATAATTATGCTACAAACTTTTAATAGAGCAGAATACAACAAAGTCAGTTCTTTAAAACTGGCACGTTCTCTATTTTTGGAGAGATTTATCACTTTTTGTAGGTTTTTTGGCAACCGGTCAAAGGCTGTCGTCCACTGGTAGCTCACTGGTTGCAGGTCCACAGTTTGTTTAATTTCCAAGCGCAATACGATTTGACACGATAGAAGATAACGGGAAAACGCCATGAAAATTCGATCACATATTGTCACGGCATTTCCTACGACAGAACACGAGATATTGTAAGTCTCGGGTGTCATAGCATATATTAAATAATATAAACTCACTTTATATATCAGCCCTTATGTTATTTCCAACGGCAATTCTTCAACTATTGCCGCATTCAAATTTAACAAATAGTTCTCATACTACCACTGACCTCAATGTAAAAAGAATCGGAGATACACCTCCAATCAACGGACCTGTATCCCCATGAAGACCTTTATCGCAAATCTGTGTAGAATGTAACCTTTAATTATAAATATGAATAGTACGTTTTCATCAGCAGTTCGTTACATATTTCATTTTTTTTCTAAATTCTGACACTGTTTCTGACGCATACACCTATTATCAAGTTGGTCGGTTGCAGCATAAATACCAGTCATTATAGTTTGAAATAAAAGATTTAGCCCTTATAAAATGCCCAGCAGTCAGTATATATGTTAATTCATTGATCCATTTCTTACAAAAGTTTAACACCATTCAACCTCTAAACGTAAGTACTCATTTACAGAGATTTGTCTCAACAAACAACGGATCACTCTGACCACCGAAGAGGATGTGTATGATAGAATTATATGTGTATAGAAAGACATATGTATCTTCTTGTTTTAGTAACATTATGTTCATCAAATATTTCACGTGACAGACCATATACTATCTAGCTGTAGCTTTATATTCTGATTTTCATTCAACGGTTCTGAAGAAAACTTTAGCTGAATGTCTGTTTGTTAGGAATTAACACAGAAAATGTGTTTAAAATCAAATACGTTTTTGATGACATAAATTCCATATAGATATGTGTAAGCAAATTATTTATTGTTTTTACAAATTTAACAGATAATACTTATGTACAATGACTGAATAAAGTCATGCATGTGTAATGTAATATTAAAGTACACACGCACCATCATACAAAAATATCAGATAAAATTCACGACGAAGTTCACACGTTGCATAACAATGTGTTCACCTTTCGTGGACAATATCAGCTGCCGACCGTACTGAATTACATGAATGTAGCCTAATCCGCGTAATACGATATAGATTTGAGTACACATGCAAAAAATACACTGCAGGCTTAAAAGTGTGATATTCAGACATCTAGTGCCAGATTTGAATTACCGATTGCAAAAAGTCAACAAAATGACAAAATATGACCTGAACTCGATCAACTGATTCCACCGCTTCGCTTCGAATGGCCATTTTGCGATTCATTAATGCAATATAAGCAGTCATGGCTATCCCCGGTGTATCATGGAATCACATAACAAATATTTCAGGATATCACACTTGATATATCATCGGTCAAGGGAAAAGATATACCGTCCATATGCACCAGCGTGAACGTTAACGGCGATAGTGAAGGCTGTACTGGTTAACTGTCTCTAAGTGGTTAGTATCAAGAACAGATCCCATCGCGCATAAGACATGCGCTGTCAGTTTAAGGTTGGACCGTCCGGATCAGCGCTCCAAGCAGATTATTGAAGGGAAGATAAATCGAAAAAGATCGCCCATTTAGATTTTTGAGGGACTTTTTAAAATATAATATTTTATACGTAGGACTTAGTATCTCCTACGTAGGACTTAATATCTCCTACGTAGGACTTAGTATCTCCTACGTAGGACTTAGTATCTCCTACGTAGGACTTAGTATCTCCTACGTAGGACTTAATATCTCATACGTAGGACTTAGTATCTCCTACGTAGGACTTAATATCTCCTCCGTAGGACTTAATATCTCCTACGTAGGACATAGTATTTCCTACGAAGGACTTAGTATCTCCTATGTAGGACTTAGTATCTCCTACGTAGGACTTAATATCTCCTACGTAGGACTTAGTATCTCCTACGTAGGACATAGTATCTCCTACGTAGGACTTAATATCTCCTACGTAGGACTTAGTATCTCCTACGTAGGACTTAGTATCTCCTACGTAGTACTAAATATTTCCTGTAGGAGATGATCGATATACGTTTATATAGATTAATCTGAAACGGTCGACTTAAATCCCCAGACACAGACAAAATCTCCTGTTTCACTGTTTCAGTCACTGTGAGAGTCTACAGTCATTCGTTTCATTCACTATTAGAGTCTACAGTTATGAGTTTCATTTACTATTAGCGTCTACTATCATGTGTTTCATTTACTATTAGAGTCTACTGTTTCCTTCACTATTAGAGTCAAGTGTTCAACTAATTGTTGCACACTACTGTGTTGGACCGACTGTTATACTTTACTGCCAAGCGTTCAGTTTGCTCTACTCTTACGGGTTGCAGTTAGTTCACTGTTATATGTTGCACTTTGTTACACTTTACTATTATGCGTTGGATATTTCAGAGGTCGTTGCACATGAATCATAATCTGCAATAAAACTGTATAGTAACACTGCGTTAGTGTCATGAATATTCACTGACTCCCATTTCGACTATCTAACGTCCTGCACAGCCAAACATTTCTCAACTTAATAACCATCCTTAAAAAGGATATATTAAGTACTACGTAGGAGATTCTAAGTCCTACGTAGGAGATACTAAGTCCTACGTAGGAGATATTAAGTACTACGTAGGAGATAGTATGCCCTACGTAGGAGATAATATGTCCTACGTATGTGATACTAAGTCCTACGTAGGAGATACTAAGTCCTACGTAGGAGATAGTATGTCCTACGTAGGAGATACTAAGTCCTACGTAGGAAATACTAAGTACTACGTTGGAGATAGTATGTCCTACGTAGGAGATAATATGTCCTACGTAGGTGATACTAAGTCCTACGTAGGAGATACTTAGTCCTAGGTAGGAGATATTAAGTGCTACGTAGGAGATAATGACTCCCCAAAGAAATTTCACCGTGGCCCTACTACGCTTCCGTAGATGTCGGCGGCATTTTGTAAAATAAAAAATATAATTTTTTGTTCCGTCGGAAGGACACTTCTTGACATCGTGCTTTTAATGGAGACATTTATAACTGATTTTACCAACATGAGTTCACGATGATGTATATATTGAAGAAGACTACTGAAGACAATGCCCCTGTTTAGCAGCATGTCACATCACACTACTTGGGCGTACTTAAATGGATTTAAGCTATGTATGTCTTCTCTTTGAATGAACGCTATAAGGCGATAAAGATTGTGAGTTTACATATATAGGGGATAGTGGTGCTGGTTGATTACTTTCTTGCATCCGTTAATCTATTTGAGTTTGTTGAAATGTAAAAAATTGGTTTCATTTAAACATATTTTATTCACAGAGAAAAGGATTAGCAACAAAGTCTCCAACTTAGAATACCCTCTCCTTGGATGTACATATGTAATTTAGATTCTCGCAACTAAAGATGGCAGATAGTGGACAACAAAGTAGTATAGGAAAAGAGATAGAGCTTATACAAAATAATATCAATATGCTATACAAATCGTTTTGTCTCACTAATGAACGATTGCACTAACTTGAATACATTTGTATTTTCACGTGCTGATAGGTCTACACTTTTGC